GGCCCCCCCCCCCCAACCCGCCCACACCCACTGCAGGCAGATCAAAGAGCTTCTTGACGAGGGAAGTCGGCTTCAGCAACATTTGCGCGCGCGCGCGACCTTACACTTCCACGGCGTGTCCTGGCAAGTAGCCACTCGGTCCATTCTCGAAACCCGGTCCGCTTCGTTGCCCAATTGACGTCCCTTTAAAATCCTGTTTGCTGGTGCGAGGGTCGCGTGGAGGAGGCGACAAAAAGAGGACAAGGGCGCGAGAAACAAACGAATTGCAGTTGACAGTCGCGCTCTGCGTCACCACTACGGAGTTGTCATCGACAGCTGATAGTCGCCTAGCAATCCCCCTCCTTTTACACAGCCAGAAAGTTCATTACCGTGTTTGCAAGGGCCTAGCACTGGACCTGATTTCCCGTTGTCATGTGTTTATGTTTCACGAAGATTTGGATGTGTGTGTATAGAAAGAGTAAAGCTGTCGCGCTGTGCGCCATGTAGACGCTTGCGGGGAGAGGTAGTGTAGCTCCAACTCATTCCTGACCTTAAGACATCATTTGTAGTGCAAGTGGCCGGTAATGGAACAGGAATTTGGGGGGGGGGGGGCTAGAGGCCAGAAGATAATCTGCAAAACTTCTCGGCGTCAGTTGTTCGTATGACGAAGGGGCAGCCATTGGCATTTCTGGAGCAGCGGGTGGTGACGCACAGGCAGTGGCGGTTCAGTCTCAGGGTCCGCGATCCGACGCGCGTAATTTGCAGAAATCCGCGCGGTCGGAACTGGAAACATTTGAATGGGATTTTGTCACTGGGGCAGTCGAAGGAGTGAGGGGCAATTGCGAGAGGGAGACGTGGCAGCGATCAGGAAGGGCGTGACGTGGGCTGCAACAAAGTTTACTTTGCACTTTGTCCCAGTTTGCCCGAGAGCGCGTGTCGTTTTATGGTGATGTCGAACAGGTATGGCGTTTTAATCGCTCGCACGCGAAACCGACTGAAGTATTTGCAGATTTGAAACGAACGCTGTTAAAGCGGAGTCATAAAATCGCTTTTGTATTGCAGGAAAGGAAATGCAGAAGCTGCTGTGTGTTGCAACTGCGCTGCGTTCCGCAGTAAAGCTTTGTCGTAAAATAGCAATAAAGCTCATTGAAAGCGGCTGCTGCGTTGCATGAAAATGGCCGCCACCCCCGGGTTCCATTTTACTTACGAGACGAACCACGGCGTTGTGTCCAGCTCCTGCTTTCGGGATTCCGGAACTTTGAGAGAAGTAAATTTTAACCGGGATTTCCTCCTGAGTGTCATCTTCGCCAACTTCAATAACGATTTCAACCCTCCACACTTCCCATTTACATTTCTTACTGTTGTTCATGACGCATTTCAGTTTATGTCTTCCACATATTCATTTTGCTAGTTTTATTATGCTTTTGGCCTGTCTGTGACCGCGCCCCGTTGCTCCTAATTTTTCTGGACTTTAGAAATCGTTTTGAACGAGGTCAGCAGCCAGTGACTCAGTCGGGTGCATATTAGCTTCGTAGGCCCCTGGTTTAATGAACAGACCTGTCTGGCTCAGGTGGCGGGCTCTGTAATTTCTCGTGAAAGCTGCGCGTGAGGCCACGAAGCTGCTTCGTGTGTTCGCCGAAGAGCCAGTCAGTTCGCGGACCGCGGTTCCCGTCTGCCGTCGTCGTGTCCGCATTGAAAGAGTCGCTTATACGTTTCGTGGCGCGGAGGAGGACCACCCCTTGTCCACTGTCCGAATGAACGTTTTCTCCTGTTTCAGGCCACACTCTCAACGGACAACCCCTGCTGGAGTTCTCGCACGCGCAAGAGCTGGGCGGCGTTGCGGGAACTGAACTACGGGTAAAAGCGGCGACCCTGTGGGTCCTCGTCGACTTCCGGTCGCCCCTCCACCGCGCCTTCAGACACACCAAGAACCTGACGCTCTGGGTGTTCACTGTCAGCCAGCGACTGCACGCCAATACCACACACTTAAGTGGTAAGGTACGTTGTAGCTCCCATCACATTGAGGCTAAGGGCCTGGAGAGGTTCTGACGAATGATTAGTCGCCTGCGGATCGCCACGGAGTGGCCGTACGAACGGGATCTCTCTACTCCTGCACGACCACTCACAAAAGCACGGCGCTCCACCCACCACCGGGTGCATAAAAGCTTAATCTCCACTTTCGTTTACAAAAGTGTCTCAGGAAAATGGGAGAACTTTGTCGTTGTTGTCGGCCCCTCCCCGCTTTCTATGGATGAGAACGCGAATTGCCGTGTACAAGAGCCCGGAGCCAGATGAATCCAACGCGCACCCTCGTCTAGATCCTCCCATGTACGACTGGGTCTGCGAAGTTCTCTCTCCTCTTGAGTTTGAAAATCTTGTAAGCATTTCTCATCCACGACCGTGCGTGCTTCGCGCTGCGACTTCCAAGTTATGTAAACGACTGGCTGACATCACTGCCAATCAGATGTGGCAGACGGTTTGTAATTGAGAGACTTGTTTACATTTGAACGCGGTCAGCGGCAAGCGAAACACCTTCATCACGCCTGATTGCGTGGTAGCCGCTCAGATGATAAGACGACATCACCTTACATTTCAGCATCTTTACGAGTGGATTTTTGTGAACCTGCTTTCGTAAATGCTGCCAGTTCTACCGCGTATAAAAGCTACGTTTTAAATTCCTGTATTACGTGGAACACATCGGCATCTGGTGCGCGAAAAAAGCGCATAATTAGTTCCGTGAAAGAGAACACGAGTTTCATTTGATTGCGCCAGAGGACCGCAGCAGCTGCTGCCCACGAAGTATCTTTTTGCGCCCAAGTTTCTTTTATTAACCGTTCGTATGTTCATAACCCAAAAGCTCATTGCTTTGTGGCCAAAGGCATTTGTTTGTTCAGTACGAAATTAAAATGTCATTTTGTGCATTTTGCATTCGTACAAACTTTTTACAGCGCTGAAATGTAACAGAAATTCGGGCTAGGGTTTGTTTACCGAAAAAGATTGTACAAGCCAACTCTTCACACACGAACCGAAAAGAAACGTCGTGAATGTCCCGTTGTTGAACAGCGGCAGGCGAAGCGGGCCTAATTCAGAGGCCCGATGGCCGCAGTGGACAGCCCTGAATGCCTCAGTAATTACATGAAGGATCGCTTTGTTCGTCATTGCTGCGCGCTCGGTGGTTTCTTGGAGGCCGATTTAGCCGTTGAACCGCTTGAAGTGGCGCGGGATGTTGCAAGGAAAGGCCATTTGAACGCGACGCAACAGAAATCTCGCCCTGCGGTGCGAAGAAGCAGGTAATGGACTCTCCCGTCCTCCCCCGTGGTACAGAGTCAAGGTCACCTTGGTTGCTAGGCCGCTCATCACGCCGGTTGAGGCTGGCTCTTGCGTATTTACGACTTTGTGTGGAAGAAAGTAGCTTGATCACATTTTCTGTGCAATTAAGTGCTTGCTTGCTCTTGTTTGTTGTCATTTTAATGAAGTTCTACGCTGATCGTTGCTGTTCGCAGGACTTCGACGAATACACGGAGATGGCAGCCTCTCTGCCCGTGTCTCTGGCCTCACTGGGCTGGCAGAAGTTCGACCTGACGACCACTGTCAAGACTTGGTACTCCTCTGGTTCGGCCGCCAAGGAGCGCCTGAGACTGTTGGTGGACTGCTCGGGGTGTGGCGACCTCGTAGAAGCCGTTCTCTTCCGGTCGACGGAGAACAAGGACCCGCAGCGGCCATTCCTCGTGGTGCACACGGACCCGACGGCTACCCGGCGGGTCAGACGCCGGGCGCTGGACTGTTCTGGGGCGCTGCGAGGTCAGTGTTGCAAGCAGCGATTCTTCGTGAACTTCAAGCAGCTGGGCTGGGAAGACTGGATCATCGCACCTAGTGGCTACTACGCCAACTATTGCCAAGGAAACTGCGGGGGGGTGCATCGAACCCCGGACACGTTTCTCAACTACTACACTCACGTGATTGAGGAATACCGCAAGATGGACCGCCTAAGCGGTATGCAGCCCTGCTGTGCGCCAGTCAAGTTCTCGTCCATGTCTCTTATATACTTCGGGCCTGATAGTAATATTATTAAAAGAGACCTGCCAAAGATGGTTGTCGACGAGTGCGGGTGTCCTTAGAACCTTGCAAACACGTTTAAAGGCGAGCAATGGAAACACGGTTGTACCAATCACTTGCAAAAGCCAGTCCTGACTGTTCGCTTTCGGTGCGGTCTCAGCACTTAGGCCCCCCGCCTTCAATTTCGTTCTGCTCACAGGGAAGCAAATTAGCCTGAGGTCTGTGCTCGAGATGTCGCCGTCGTCATCATCATCATCTTGCTGTTGTTTTAAAATCTATATGTTGCTCAATTTTTTCTATACTGATATGCTAAAAAACCTTTCTTCTTCGTGCTCAAAGAATCTTTTATTTTGTTTTGTTTCAGCTGTCTAAATGGAAACAAACGAACAAACGAAGTATTGCTTTGGTATCTGCAACATTAACAGTGATCTATAATTTCGGATGCTGCTTGTTCCTAGTCAAATTCTGTCGTGCGTTTACGAGCGTTTGTTTTTTGTTTTTTTGTTTTTTGTGTGCCCGGAGTCTGAGCACGCGTTCGGTGGGCGCTACTTACTGCTTAGTACTTCCTGCTATGTTCAGCCTTGTTGAATAAGCGGCAGAAATTACGTATTTCATTTACTCCCACTCCACAGCACGAAGCTCGCTGTCAAATTCCTGTTTGGATGTTTCAGGTAGGGAAGAACTCAAGTGCCAGAGATTACCGCACACGAAGATGGTCTGCGGTAATGTCGAAACGTAATCGGAATGCGAGTGTCTGTCTGTGTGGACTGTGATCTGTCGTTTATTGATAAGAAAAGAATGTGATTTGTCTGTCACTGCCTCCGAACAAATTTGATTGTTTGTGTGAAAGCACGGCATTAAAATTAAACGTCCCATAGAAATAATTAATAAGAGATGAGAAAAAGAGGCTGAAAACGTTATTTACCAGTAGATTAAAACACTGTGAAGTATTCCCGAAATTTAAACAATAAAAATTGTGATGAATTCTTTAAAAAGTTTGTTTGCAACAACAAATGGCAAATTTATGTATGTTATTTATATATTGTTTTGAGTAAAGTTTAAAAAGGCTGGCTAAGGTGGTTTCTACTTGAAATAATTTTCTCCACTGTAGTTTAATATTTATTCAGAGAAATAGATGCAGTTGAAACTAATTATCGCAATATTACTGACAGTTCAGTGACCGAGTAGGAAGTGAAAAGTGCCGACGTGAAGTTCTGGTGATATTTAGTATTTAAGTTTACGAAAACAAGACGGGATCATTCCATGACTTGGGAGTGTCCTCATCAAGACAAACTTGACAATAACATTTCATTTTCCATTGATGAAGACATAATTATCATAATAATAATAATATTATTATAGTTTTTGTTTGATATACATCCACTGTGCTTCATGTCTGTTTGAAACACAAATACCACAGCAGAGTTGTCGAGTCGCTGTGCAGGCCAGAGCAATTATCCAGTTGTGGAGGCTGCCGATAAGAGAACATTTGAAAATTCACTGCGCTGAAGGTAAAGCGGTCTGTGTGTTGGATCAGGGCTTCTTCATGTAGTTAGAGTAGGCAGCGTGAATTGTCAGTCAAGAAACTTGCCCACTTTCATGTAACATTTATTAATTTAAATGTGGAATCTAATTTTTGTTCTGCAGTAATGGAAAACCGTGGACACAAAACTTTATTGAGCGTAATGAATTCTTCTCGGGCTACGAGCCCAAGAAGAATTCTCCTTCCATTTCACAGTTCTTAGGAGGTTAACTGTTCATTTGAGTACGTATTTAAATTCTCGCTTCTTTTGTCGGGTTTCTCGGGCGTCTTGTCCGATGAACCACCTGTTCATCACTCGACTCTCTTGCATTAACCAGCCTCAATTCTTCTTCTGTACTCATTACTTGTTCTCAATTTTATCAGATTCACATCCTAACATAAGTATAAATGGCTTCCTGTTCGTGCTGTGTATGCAGACTTCTAATTATTTGTTGTGACTGCAGATATTACTAATACTCATGAGCCGCCCACATCTTATGCCTAGTGCCTGTTACAGTCTCCTCATTTGTCGGCTAACAGAGAATTCAGGTTGACGTTCTAGGTTCCTTTAGTGTGGAATTTGGTGAATTCTATGATCGTCTGTGTATATTCACTCCCTCCCTTAAGTCTGAATTCCTTCTGCAGTCCAATCGGCACAGTCCACTGCTCTCCTCGTGGATTGCGTTTCTTTCGCTGTGCCCCTGCTGCCTTCATCTGTTGTACAGTCGAGGCTTTGCTGCTCTTAAGTCAACATGGATCATGTAAAAGTTTTGTAAACTGTAAGTTTCTCAGCCAAGTTGCATTTAAACTCTTTGCTTGTTACTGTATTACAATTAAAATGTATTTTTCGCTTTCACGTGTGTAACGGCGGGCTTTTGTTCCGTAAAGGCGGTTGTTCCCATTTGACAGAGCGTGCATTCACGATGCAATCTGTCTTCGTAAGTTTAGGTGTGGATGTGTTTCCATTGCCAGAAAATAAAATATGAAGACAAATGGGCTTTAAAACATCTAAGATTCACACAGTTTTTTTGAAAATTGAAGAATGATCAAAGACTGTAGTGTTGAACATTCTAAAAGAAAAATTTGCATCCCTTACCTTGAGTTAACTAATATTTTAAAGAAAAAGATCCATTTTATGATTTGCACAAAGTTCGACTAAATTTTAAATGGTTCCATTTTTACCACTATTAAAAATCATTACAATTATTGAAATGAAAACAAATTAATTTTATATCACGTTCATATATTTCACTAAACACTTAATTGATAATTTATGCAGAGAATGTACCAACATAAAATTTTATTTCTTTGCGCATTTGATTAAAGAGTTTAATGAACTATGAAGAATTTTATAACTTTATATTATATTATAAGTTTTAATTTTTTATTGTTGTGTAGCCTGTAATGTAATTCGAACAGATTGCGGTGCCACAGAGGGTGGCGGTTTTCGAAACTAAACATCAAGTATCTTTTGCTTTGCATCTGGGCCTGTAAATTTCCTCGTAGCAGGCTTTAACATTGCGACATTATGGACCGTTCTTGGATAGAACCGTAATCCAAGGTAATGTCAGATGCTTTCTGGGACATCTTGTTTATATTTGTCATTGCTGTTCAGTGGCTACTAAACTATCATTTGCACTCTTTCGCAGGGCAGAAACTCATTTTTAACTGAAAAGACAATACCATTTGGTCTTCCAGGTGGAATTCATGAACAAAGATTCATCTCATCTCAAGGCGGGCCCACGGTGCCGATTCCACAGAGGATGTTGAAGTTGCACCAAAATTAATTTAATTTTAAATTTTTCTTGTTTTCACCAATGGTTTCTTTGGTGTGTTAGGCAGATACTCTTTCATCCTGTTCTGATGGCTGCAAAATTGGCATTGAGTTAGGTCGACGGGGGTGGGCACTCTCAGATTTGGGAGCGACGTGTAGAAAGGTAATAAAAGTAAACTGAACATCAGTTTTGATTAAAAAAAGAAGAGTGAAAGTCTCCAACCACATGTTCTCTTTGTTGAACAACACAAATCTTTTGGTCCAGTAACGTTCTGCAAAATGTGATAGAAACTTCTCGGGAGCACATAAGTGGAGGCGGCAGTGTTCTAGGCTCTGCACCGCGTAGCCCGGAAGGCAGCCGTCTTCATACAAATTTTGCTGTGAATAGGGCCTTTCCCTTGGAAAGTCATTATTCAAAATTCAGGTTTCATCAGGTTTATGTTTGCAGCTTTGAATTTCCTACGCAACTTGAAACAAAAGAGGGAATTTGTGCGTGGTTGTAGTTCGCCCATGCCACGTGTTTCTTTCAATGGAAGAGTGTCTTTAAACTTTGAAGTGCCACGTCTGTTTTTGTTGCACTTATTTGTCTTGGAACAACTTCGCTCGTTTGTTGGTTGTGACGTACACGATTATTTCTTAGTGATAAAATGTTTTAATCTCGTCTAAAGGATGGGGCAGGTTTATTAGAAAAGTCACTCAGAAGTAAGTAAAATGAAACTTAACGCAGTTTACGACTTGATTTGCAGCTGCTTATTGCACAGCATTTCCATTTTATATATTCGTATCTCTGCAGGCGCGTCTGGCTTCTGAGCTGATGCTTTATTGAGTGTTACTTTGAAAACACGAGGTTAGTAAAGAAGACTGTCTTTTGGAATTACCTTTCAAAGATAAGATGTGAAGTTAAAAATGTAATGGAAAAATAGCTCTTACAGTTTTGGGGTTATTTTCTGCTTAATTCAATTTTTGAAGTGTTAATTACATTAAAGTAGCATAAATGTTGGAATCTTATCCGAGCTAGATTACTGAATGGAAGAACCGCTGGAAACTTGATCTTAACTGACTGGTGCAGTTGAGTGTCCATTTGGATTTAGTTTGAATTTAAGAGAAGCCCACAGCTGGATATTTGTGTATAAGTGCAGAACAAGTTTCATTGTAAAATCCTACAAGAAGTATTGAAGAACTGATCAGTTCTCTAATATATGAAATTATACACAAGTGAGCAGATGTTTTCAGTAAACCTACCACGTTCCCTGATCCTTATACTTACGACAAAGCTAGTGTTGTTGTGTTCAACCATGGATCAGCAGCATTTTGCTTCAAAGCGTTAAATTGACGAAATAATAATGTTAGAGTCTTCGTGACTTTGGCCACATCGATTCTGGTGATGCAACAGAACACGAAGAAATTAGCTGGAACATACGTAGTAGCATTGTCGTCCCTTTGGCCGGCAAAAAGGCGCGCTTCGTTGCCGATTCTTGCCGAGGACAAACGACAAGCAAATGCGAGTCCAGGAGAGTCCGACCCATTCCTTTGAATGAGTTTTGGGGAAGTATGTTTTAGAAACAACCGGCGCTTCAAAATATGTGCAGGGCTGTCAGATTAGACGCGTGTAAAAAAACAGACAGGTCTCTTCTTTAATTTCATTTTATTGTTAATTCTAAGAAAGGTTTTAACAGTAAACCCTTGATTTGATTACTAGACTTCTGGCAGAATTCCATCCCCGTCGTTGCATGAACATTTCTGGTGTCCCTCTCCGAAGGACCTGACACAGCCTGTGGGCTGATGTTTCCCCGCAGCTCACCGTAACCTTACTGCATGACGCTGCTCCATCTGAGTGTGCTAGTGATAATGTTGCAGCATGCACTGCTTCTTACAGTTCAAAGTTCACTTGATTGGAAACGCGACAAACCATGAAGATGGCCGCCTTCTGGGTTGTTGCGACGTGTAGTCTGACGGAAGTTTACTGGCGTTTCAGAGGTCCTTGCTGCTTCCATCATCAGGGCGGTGAGTAAGCCATGCGACGAACCAGCATGAAAGCAATCTAAGGGCGGAGTTGCTAGGTAAAACAATTCCTGCGTACGAAGCGCATTGCTGGAAATGGTAAACAGAGCCTTATAAGTAAAACGGGGGTGTGCTCCTGCTGGTGAGAGGCTCTCCCGTCATGTCCTTCGTGAAAAGCATTTTGGTTGGATGGCTCCCTGGAATTTCGCTTGGTCTAGATCCTTCGCTCCCTAGGGGGAGGAGCTGGTTTCTCCACATGGGCGCCTGTAGTGGCGTCGATTGACGCGACGCTCAGTGGCGTAGACAGCAGCCTGCTGTTGCACGTAGGGCATCCCATAGGGCAGTGGTATTCAACCTGGGGTACGCGAAGACATCTTAGGGGGTACGTGAAATTTAAAAATATATATATATATATATTATTTTATGATAAAAACTGAATAATCAGTGATGTAATTTATTTAATTTATTTTAGATGTAGATTATATAATATGTATAACTTAAATTATACACCAACAACTTTGGGGGTACAAAGTTGAAGAGAAATTATATCTGGGGGTACGCGAACAAAAAAGGTTGAATACCACTACCATAGGGCATTGCCAGTCTCGCCCCGACACCAAAGCCACAACCTGCCCTTCTCAGGGCACATTCGGCCCCAGCCAGGGCTCACTCCATCTCCCCTGTTTCCTCCTCATGACCTCCACCCACCCACCACCCGTATGTCCAGTGATCCACCAGCCGGACTCCGAGGGGCCCTCATAAGGGCCGCTTTCTCGGTCCTCTCTCTCTCCCGCTGCGACACGCCCCGGCGCTCCTATAAGTTCCCGTGCCTAGCCTAACTCTGACACCAGTCACTTTCTTATTACTTCAGCATTTTTCACTCGAACGGCTTATTCATCGCCCTGATGATGGCAGCAATGACCTCAGAAACTTCGATAAACTTCTTCCAGTCTACACGTCGCGACAACCCAGAAGACGGCCAGAAGCAAGAACGCAGTCGTTGTCTTCATCGCCATGGAAACGTCAAATTATGAATCAGTCTGTCTGAACGGAAGATTGTCTCATCAGAGTTAAAAGTTGCCAGCCGACGCGTTTGTGGAAGAGACTCTTAACTTTAACGTTGTAGCTAATCGATAAAGAATCTCCCTTTAATAAGCTCACAGAACAAGTTCGACTCCGTTTGAATAACTTGTGTGTCTAGACAGAGGGAATGTCGCAGTGGAGTGGTTGGTATTCCTGCTTCGTGTTCGAGACGTCCCGAGTTCGATTGGCGGCTAGGAGGTCGCCTGACAGATACTGGCAAATGAATACAGGTCCCTTCCCAGTCCACGCTATATGACTCGTGCAGTTCATACAGCTTGAGCGCGAGTGAATATACAAGTGAATCAAGAAGTACGCAGTTCGAAAGGAAACGGTCGTGAATCTTTAACAGTTTCGGCCTTGAAAAATAACGGGGAGCGCAGGCTCTCTGAACCAGGGCCTGCAGCATTCTGGGAGCGCGCCAAAGTTCCCCGCGGGGCGTCGTGTTTCTTGTCGGCTCTGGAGGACGGAGCGCGACCACGACGTCCCACTGCTGGCTGACACAGCTTCGAGTCCTCGTGTGATTACGCAATTGCGTTATTAGTGAAACAAAACTCTGCGATCGTTCGCACCGAAAATGTAATATGACTGCAGTTCATTACGTGCTCTGGCCTATTTAACGACGACCTCCGACTGTACAGCGCCGATAAATGGAACGGTTGATGACGTAGGAAGACTGCGGAGGGAAACGATTGTGCCTGTACTTTTAGGCAATATACTGGCATTTTCCTGGAGAGGCTGAGGGAAACCACGATATCCGGGGAGAGATTTGAACCCAGGACCTCCCGAATATGAAGCAGGAGGCGGTTGGTGGCGATGCGTGACGTGCCGACGTCTGAGATTGACAAGAAATGGTTCGTGGCGGGCTACAGATCTGTGGGAAGATGGTGTGTTGGAAACGTCGGCGACATTTTTGTAGGATTTTATGACGTAAAGTTTGTCTGGGTGTTGGCATTGCAGCGGTTTGGCTGAGTTCGCATTCAGACATGTTATGACGAGAGAAGTCCGCGCAATTTACAACTACATTCCATTTAGCCAAAACTCTTTTCACTTACACGTAAAAAAAGGAGAAAATGGATACTGGACCGCAAAACTGGCTGATGATAATGCTTTGACCCCGAGCATGAGCGACGGCGCCAGACTACAATTGGATGAGTTGCAAAGAAGTCACCTACTCGTCCCAGACCGCGAAAGTACTTTCGTGTTTGCAGTCCGTGTGTCCTCAACTAACAGAACGATTTTCACTAAATTTTGTAAGAATATTGTGACATCGGCAAACCCCCGAATTTTTTTATTTCGTAAAATCTTCAATAAGAACAATGTGGGCGTGCGAACTTATGAGGTGGGACCGATACTACAGCCATCTGCATAGGGTCCTCAAATAATGCGTGTGTCATGTCTTGGAAAGGTATGCTACTTTTGTTAGGACGAAATTCTGTAGAACGCCAAGAAACATGGCGCTCGTGCTAAAACCTGCATCTAACTCTCGTTTTGACTGTATTAAGCATTTGCCATAATAGTCTCCAGTCCAATCTGTGGGATGTGTGAAGAAGGATTTGGCTGTACAGTAAGTAACTCCATGGAGCAGAGTTCTTATTGAGAAGATTATAGTCGCTTAGCTTGTCGAGAAAGGCCCCGACTATTACAAAAGTTTGAACTTTCGTTGCCATGTTCACGAGAGCCAGTTGCTTCCTGTCTGCATCCTCATGTACTACTTAACATCCATTTCAATATTATCTTCCCTTGTGGGCCAACGTCTCTGGAGAGGTCGCATTCACTTTTAATATTCATATTTTTAGATAGAAGACAACAGATTCTGAACTGCATGGACCCATTTATTCCCTTGAATTTAACCTGCTATTAACTTCTTCGCGAAAGCAGTTTGAAGGACTCTGAATTGAAAACTTTCTAGAACAGGCGTAACAACTTTGCGGCCGTGGCGGTTTCGAAGGAGGGATATCCAAAGTAAGCAAATCTGCTTGTCATGGGGTCGATGGAGCAGACAGAACGCAACTTGCATTGCATTGTCAGAGTTCCTAATAAATGGCAGCTCTTCATCCATTATGTTTTGTATTCTTCTGCCTACGCAACGATATTTATCATTTGTATTGTGCGATCCCATCCCCGGCATCATAAATAAATTCAGTGGCTTCTCAAGGAATGCCAGGGGGGAGACCGACCGGTCGCAACACTGAAACGTACGAGGGTTACCGGACGCCAAGCTTCCTACGCGCGGGGTCCTGAGTTCCCTTCCAGGTCCAAAGGATGGGACGAATCCTCACACCGTTCTTGTTTAAGTGTTATCCTCCCAGTTTATCCAGGTCTCAGAAACGACCAAAGTCTCCGAAGATGTGGGTTGTTGTAGCGCCGTGTAGCTTGGTAGAAGTTCACCAACGTTTCAGAGGTCCCTGCCGCCTCCATCATCAGGTCTCATCGCCGTGATTGCGCTCAAATCGGGTGTCATCTGCAGTTCACCGGCAGCCCGCGTGTATTGCTACTGATCACGATGCCGTTCCGCCACCAAGGGTCACCGAACGTTAGAGAGAGAGACTGCAGTTAGGAAGAAAACGAGATTATTCGCAATGACCCTGAAGAAGCTGCATCTGGTAAACTCTGCGACCATGCGAGACACGACGTTCGGCATTGCAAGTGAGAGACAAGAAATGCAAGAACAATGCTGGTCGAGAAGCCTGAAGTGAGGAAAGCAGTCGTGGCCTACTTGTAGCGAGGGCAGCTACACGCAGCATGAGATTAACTCGCGCCTTGTAAGGAATGAAATCTAAATATAACCAGACGACGAACTGGGAGGGGCTGGCAGGCGGGCGTCTGGGTCGCTACCAGACAATATGGACCAGACGAGCATGGCGGGCAGGCAGGCAGGCCGGCCGGCCGGCATGACGTCACTCACAGACGCCCGCCGCCATCGGCGTCGATCTCCTTACACTGCTACAGAAACCTCCTGCAGTCGATAAGACGTCACTTGATGACTGGGGCCTAGACCGCTCACCTGTGGAGTTGTACCTCCAGGCCTCACTTCACCTGTAGCACAGAGACAACGCATCAGAACTCACTGAACTGTTGACTGTCGCATTTACGTGACGTAATGAAAATAACTAAGTAGGTCACGAGTCAGCGCCGTGGACTAGTGCGTAGACAGTCATGCGATCGAATCCACTTCCGGTGACTTGTATTTGTTCTTTGCAGTTGTATGTTTCACGATGTTGTTATTTTATTTTTGGGCAGAACTTGTTACTGCTGACTGCTTTGTGGGTCCTAACGCTGGACTCTAGCAGAAACAGCAGAGTTGTGGAGCACCTGGTCGAATTAACAGCGAAGACTGTTGAATAAATGTAATTTACTCCCTTAAAGTACATTTCCACCTGTACTTCCTTTTGTACTCATGTCTTTCATCTGATTCTCAGAACAAATAGTTATAATGTCCTTAAACGGCATTAACCAATTTGTCGTTGTAATAGTGAAGTGTTGTGTTTTCTTTGAGGTACGGACTGAATCATAAAGAAACTTGCACGAGCCCCTTTACAGGCCAGTAAAGTAGTTGGTCCAGACGTAAACGCAGATAGAACTAAGTGCATGTTCACGTCTCGTTACCAGAATCCTGTACACAATCAGTCGCTGATAAGTAATCCGATATTTGGAGATTTGATGTCTGGGAACGACTGTAATAAGTCGCGAACACTTGCTACCTGCAGTGCAGAATCTCACCGTCTCTCCGTATTTATTATTCCATCTGTCTTCGTCGCCGTTTCTAGTTAACAGAACAGCTGAGACGAGGATCTCTGACAGTCGGTGGTTTCAGATCGGCCAACATTTCCGTCCCCTGAGGATATATCAGTGAAGTCTGCAGAAAATTTCTTGCAGTATGGACGTTTAGAAGTCTCATGAGACGATCTAAACGCGTAATAAATTTTTCTTTGGCGATCAGCCGTGTCAGGTGGCAGAAAGGTGACGAAAACTTTCAACCACCTGACATGGCTGGTAGCCCGAGAAGAATTACTTGCACTTGGTCATAGGTGAAGCTCCAGATTGTGTAGATGACATAAATGCACCGTTCAACCCTCAGGGGCGCACGTACTGAGTACGGGAAGTGGCGTCCCCGAAGCACGCGGTCTACCGTCAAGTGCGGCGTGGAGGAAACGTTCTTGCTTTAATTTGTTTCGTGTTTACCGCTGCGTGTAACCGAGTGGTTGGCAATCCTGTTTTGTGTTATTTCGGGTATCTTTGTCCCCCCCCCCCCCCCAATCTTTCACTTAAATAGCCGCAACCGCTTCATTCCACTTTATTAAAAAAAATTCCACTCACAACCGACGCTTTATAAGGTACAACGTCGTTAAAGAGACCTGATCCTGTGCCGGAGCCCCGACTGACTGTGGGTGTTGCGAGACGCCTTTGCAGTAAGAGGAATCATGGCGCGTGCAAGTTGCGAGTTCGCAAAAATTAAATTTTGAAAACGTCGGATGGTTTCTAATGAGGCAGATCGCCCTCTTTGTACTAAGTTCTTAAAATTAGTCAATCGTGTGATCTGTCCATCATTTCATCTGTGGTGCGGTCCATCGGATTCTGTTGATATTTGATACACGGCCTCTAGGCCTAGTCTTGGTTCAGCGCAGTAGAATTTTCTTTGAAACTTTGCTATAAACCGGAGGAAAAGGGTCGTCGGAACTCAACGGTGAACGGGCGATCTATTTCTTATCTCCCCATTCAAAAAAAATGTCAGTCGTATTATAAACTGCGTCATTTAAACGTCCGAGTCATCCATATTGAAAGTAGTCTATATTTAAGGGCTGCCTAATGCTAGCAGCAATTATAAAATGCAACATTTTGCCATCTAGCGTCATTACGGAGAATTTGCTGGAGCGCAGAACGTTCGCTTCTGATATTAGTCGACGCGACGTGGCCTCTCTCTCAACTTGACTTTTCTTCGTGAGCCTGTAGATTCTGATACTTTTAAAAACTCAGAGCCCTCTGCCTTCTGCTTGCGACGTAGACGCTGGTTTCCTGCCACTGCGTAACCTAACCTAGCGAACTCGTCCTCTTCGACACAGTACAGCGAGGTTCGTCCCAACTGACACACACATTTATTTTGCATTCTGTAAAGATGTTGCACCGTGTAGCCTGGTAGATGTGACGGACGTTTCAGAGAAACTGCCCTGGTGGTGGAGGCAGTAAACCCCTCCGAAACATCGGCCAGTGCATAGTACAATATCCCATCTCCATTCTCGTCTCCGTGTGACCCTCAGATCTCACCTAATTTTATGTTTAGTCATTTTATTCGACATCGACTGTTTAAAAGTTTGAACCTGTTCCATGAAGATGGCTGTATCGCTGATCTAATAAGAACTAACCTTTGTAAACTGCAATCAGCGATGGCCAATGGATGAATAAAGTAATCCAGATGATTCTCGGTCTACAGCCCTGCATTGTGGGTGTTAAGGTTTTTAATCGGCTTTCGTTGACAGAGACAAAGCAACCTTTATGTGAAACACGTGTGCCGATTTTGCTCTGGAAGGTACAGAATGTGCGGAACGTCAGAAACTTGACGGTTTGACCGGAAAGTTAGTTGCGTTAAATTATATTGAGAGTACCGCCATCAAAGGACACCGTCTTATTGCGCATGCCCAATAGTTACGTGTGCCCCGGAGATAAGTTGAGGGGTAGTTGTAGCGCCGTTCGTTTGATTGTACTCGGCAGCGTTACTAATTTGTCTCCAGGCGAATGACGTCATTGATGCAGAAATTTCAAGGTCACATACTCCGGCGAAGAAATTAATGCCTGTCCATTTCTGTCATGTTAGGCTTCTCTTCGACGAAATCGTGGGATGTGTTGATTTTTATCAACAATGCATTATTGTTGTCGGAAGAAAGATAAAATGTATTTAAAATATTAAGAAGTCCGCAAACTGTACTTAGGCGCAGACTTAGCACACTCATTTGATTTATATTCGTAACAAACTGTGTAAGCTCGCTGTTGGCACTCACCCGTATAAATGATATCTGCTGTCTTTACTAAGGCGAGGCTTCGTTTAATATTCTAGTCGTTTCCCTAATTTAATTTCATAGATTGCAGGCCAACAGACGTTCGACGCGTCATAAGGCCACCACTGTTTCTCGTTTCTGCCTGTAGTTTTGTTGGTGCTAAAATTTCAAGTGGTGTTTAATAACGGGGGTGGGCTTTACACAGCCATTTGTTTGTGTTTTACAAGACTCCGGAAAAATTAACGCGCTAATTTCAAAGACTGGTGATCACCCCTGTACATAAATAAATCCTTGGACTGCCAATCCAGAAAATTCTTCTGGTCACGATAATCACGGTTACAAAGTTGTTATATTAATAACAGAAGCGCTTATTCACACGATGCGAATCATTGATCTTTAAGACATGCTATACGACCGGGGAATCAGAGCTCTATTGCGCCTTCTCACTTGTGTTCTGCTTGTGAGAACACCATGTCCCTGTAACAGAATAATTCCGAAGTTGGTATTAATTTGTAATGTAGTCGCTTCACGGTGGTCCTGATTGATGGCGTGACTGGTTACGTACAAAACAAATAATTACTCGCCGGTCTTAATGAAAGTATATTCATCTGTAATGTTTCCTCTGTTTACCCGTATCTGGTCTTATTACTAGGTAAAACTAACCATTGATTTTATAGTACATAAAATACATATTTGAAATTACAATTACATGAAAATGAAGACTGTAGATGGCTCTAGTTGAACTACCATGCTGTTGAATTTAGTAAGTTTCGTCTTTGTGTTCGAAATTTGTTGTTCGCTGTTGGTGTTAGTAAAATTGTTGTAAATGTTTGTGTGAAGGCAACAGGTTCAGGTAGTGCAGTTTGATGATACGGAGTTATATTTTCGTGCTTAGTGTTTCGAGGAGGTACAGAGTGAACCATTAGGTGCGGTGCTTATGAGTGTTTCCACATACAAACCCCAGAGAGGTTATACACTGTGAAAGTGTCATATTCTCAAATTCCAACTTAATTTTTGGTACCAAAAGGTGACAAGGCATCCTAATGATTTAGAAATAGCTCTAAATATATGGGAATTACCGTAGAAGACATTTTAGTGAATGCTCATAAGGTTAATGGGTTGAAAGTAATAGGGCCTTGTATGTGATTATCACTCCACCCCAATTGTTCTGTGAAAGTTTGGTGAGCTACTGCCATACGTTATCTCCAGAAATAGAAGGTTTCAAACGCAGCATTAGTGTGTAATTGTGGGAGGGAGGCAGAAGTATGAGAAAGAGGTGCAATTCTCCAATTCCCACTCTTGTGGCTCTACAGTAACCCATTCCTCAGCACTCCATTTAAGCCCCACCAATAATGGTGTTACTAATTGTAGCATTATAGTTTAAGATCAACTATAACAACATAACATGAACTAACATAAATTTGTATTTCAGTTCATTGTGTTTATCTTACCTTGTCACTTCTGTGGTTTTAGTATGACATCCTGTTTCCGTATTCACAAAGGTTACAGTAGTTCATGTCCAGTTTGAAGCCCTCATTGTGCAGGTGATTGAAAGCTTATGAACAGCTGGAATGTACGGTCATGACTGACTTGACTATATCCATCTGAGTCTGTGGCAGTGTATGATGTACAAACCTCCGTTGGTTTCAGAAAGCATCACCCTGTTTGTTTCAGTTAATAGTAGTGGGATGTTGAAGTTAGATACTCTGGGGACAGGCAGGTTGATGTCACACCCAGTTCTCAACAGCAGTGATTTTGATTGGATTTAGTGTAGTGAGGATCCCTTTTAATGGGAATTTTTGTAACCATTGATATAAATTTCCACATAGTTTTAATACTTTTAAAGCTAAGGGCCTTTTCACAGTTATTTAATAAACACATAGATTTTGTGCCTTTTTTTCATGCGCTCTTACAAAGTGTATATTAAAGCGTGGATACTTTTGCTAGGGCTCAATAAACAACCAATCCCAGATTCCAGGTCACCATGAGATCAAGAAACAGTGTTATAGTGCCTAGTGTTTTCGAGAGTAAATTATTTTAGTGTGTCTTTGCTTCTTTGAAAATCCCAGCTCAACAATGATTGTGCCACAGAACTGCTTGCTCACCTATGACATTGAACAATCTGAACAAAAAAGTCTTTGTTTTGCAATAATCTCTGATTCTGTGTATTATGATTTGCAGTGCCATTACGTGGTACAAAGCCTGGCTTATATGCTTATTAGAAAGTGCAGATCTTGAACAATAAATGTACAGTATGACCTCATTGTCTCTCCCTATGTATTATTGTTGTAGGTTGTTTGTTGTTCTACAGCAGAATGTTATTCTGTATGATATACAAGTGTATGAATGTCTCCAATAATGACAGTAATAACAATAAGAACAATGAGCTTACCTCTCACTTATCATAATGCTAATCATTATCGCTTTTTACTGCATGCAGACCTTCCTACCCTGGTCCACCAAATCCTATGAAGCCTGTTCAATGCATGACTGACTGGAAACTTCCACAGGAAGGCTGTGTGCTGGGGAATAGCCACTGCGACTCGCTTACCATCATGCCGACTCTTATAGTCACTGATTCCTCCCACTCTTGTCCCATTTTTCTACGTGTTACGATGTGAGGCAGCACTCTGTCATGGCAACATTGGAGGACTGTTATCAGTTAAGATGTGAGGTTTTCATGGTGACAAGTATGAGATATGCTACCTTCTGAGATGTTGCATTACGTAGTCTAGTAGACATTGACTTTCACACTGATGATGGAGGCCAGAAACTCCTCAGAAGCATCAATTGGTGTCAGCCAGACTGCAACATCCCATCCATCATTACTGGGGAAGTTTCAACTCACGCATGTATTAATTTTGGTGAATGCAGTGTCATGTGGATTTGTAGTTGGATACCAACATTTTAGAGGAATATATTGCCTTAATCGTTATGGCTGCATTATTAAACAAATGGGAAAAAATCTCTTAGCTATAAAAATTAAAAACTGTGACCCTTTCTGTTTGAACTCTAAATTCTAATAATGACATGTATAACATTATTTACAGGCCATCATGGATATAATTAAAGTAGAGCCTGATTCAGATGAAGAGTCAGTCTCTCTGCCTTCACAGAGTGGAGAAGAGCCACTCATTGATATAAAACATGAAATGGAACCTGTGCCAGAACCATTTTGTGTAGTGAAGACTGAAGCATACGTAAGTTATGTTTACAAGTGTTATTTTACCTCCATTTCAAAGGGTCAAAGTTCAGCATACGTGGGCCTCAAGTGTACTGTAAAGTAACAAAGGCACTTGCCTCACATCTGACATTACACCTCAGAAGGTATTCATCATGTTTTGTTCTTTCAGTGCTGTTGCAAGATGCGAGTGTCACGTGTTCAAGCACAAGTGAAACCTGTCTGCCTGATACCCACAGACACACACACAATAGTATCAGATTTGATGTGTTTGTTTTAGCATTCTTTGATGAACGTAATCTCTTAAGCCATGTCATCATGCTTTCCAGACACAAGAGACCACTTCATACAAAGTTTGTACACATTCTCTCACATTTACATCATTTACAGTCACAAAATAGGAAAATAGTAGGCGACAAGAAGTCGTATGCTCTTTAAATCCTTGCATTTATTTGTAAATAATTTATGCTTATTACTGAAAAATGAACATAACTTTGAAACCTTTCGTGATGGTACATCCATCAAAAATGTAGCTCTTCAGGTCTCTTGTTTTTCAGCTGTCAGCAGAATTAGACTTATACTTGTACTTAGCTTTCAGTTTGTCAGAAATAAGTTCTGGAATGGAGATAGATTATAAAAATATGTGCGTAGATAGTCTGTATTGTGTATAGTTTGTAAGTCAACAACATGGCAACGACTTGAGTTCAGCCCCGTAACCCATGCGCTGAATCGGGTTATATTACATTATCTGAATATGACATTAACAACACAAGATCTGTTTTGACTGGAAGTCTACGAGACAGGGGAAAGTATGCTTTGTGAGTTCTTCCCTGAACTTGTTACTCCCTCACTGGACTATTAATTACTGGCTTGTGTTGCAGGATGAGTGTTGGGATAATGCTGCAGTCAAGGAAGAAATGAAAGATGAAGTGTCAGTAGAGGAACTTCAAGTGCGCACAGACAGGTTAGTGTGTTTTGAAAGTTACTATGTATTTGTCTTTTGTCTGTTGGCCCAATGGTTAAGTATGGGTATGTATGTCAAATCACAGTTCCATGAGGCTGCAAGTAAATAATTGTTACAGTATTAGGAAACTAAAACCAGCGTTTGTTTCGTATTACAGTGTAGAGAGACTGACTGGTTCGCAAGGTTTCATCTGTGGTCTGAGTTCTTCTGTGACACAAATTGACAATCAGCAGAAACATGACGGAAAATCTACAGAGGAGAGCAACTTGGTCAACACTTTTTTACATGTGCAACTTGATGGAAAAGTAGAAGATGACTTTGAAACAATGAATACGATGGACCCTTTAAGTACAGTATGTAGTAAACAGTTTTCAGGAAACTGTTGCATCCCAAATTGTATTCATTCCCTTACAGAAGAGAAACCATATAATTGTGATGTTTGTAACAAGACATTCTCAACCGAAGGGTCTTTCAAGAACCATTTTCGCAGCCACACTGCCAAGAAGCCGTACGCTTGTGATGTGTGCAGTAAGAAGTTTTCTGTTCGTAAAATCCTCAAGAATCATTACCGTATACACACTGGTGAGAAGCCTTTTGAATGCAATGTGTGTAATGCAAAATTCTCACGCAGCGCAAGTCTTCACAGGCATCGTACAACACACATGGAAATTAAACAGTACAAATGTGATGTTTGTAACAAGAACTTTTCAAGGAATGATCATTTGAAGAAACATTATCGCACTCATACTGGAGTGAAGATTTACAAATGTGAAGTATGCAATAAACATTTCTCACAGAAAGAAAATCTTGTGATACACAGTTTTATCCATACAGGTAAAAAACCTTACACTTGTGAAGTATGTAATAGAAGTTTTTCTCAGGGTGGACATCTCAACGCGCACAAACTCATACACACAGGGGAAAAGCCGTATAATTGTGATGTATGCAATAAGAAATTTCCAGTGCGAGAAAAACTGAGAAGGCATTATCGTATTCACACGGGGGAGAAACCATATGAATGTGTTGTATGTGAACGAAGCTTCACAGAACTTGGCAACCTTAAGAGACATCATTCTCGTGTGCATACTAGAGAAATACCAGGTAGTGGAGAAGTGATGTAGTGAATAATTTACACTTCATGAACTTTGTTTTGTTGTAAATATTACCCGTGAGATTTTGCTAGAATGTGGCAAGTCAGTGTATGGAAACTAGCTTATTTTCTGTGTATTTATATCATCAGATAAAAATGCATAATGAGCTATACAGCGTTGTGGTACGTACAGAGAAGTCCTGTCAGAAGGCTACAGCCTTCAGAAAGAAAATAGTGCAGAGTTCAAGATGTCCACCAGAGATTGCACTTTGTGACTTTGCAGCAGCTATTAAAGCAGGTGTTGTACAACATTCAGATACATTTTTTTAATAATGTGAAGTATAACTAACTAACTAACTAACTAGATGGCTTACCGAACCCGAAGGTTCATCACCGAATTAACCAAAGCCCTCCACCGGACCCTGTCCTGGGCCAACAAAATCCAGTTTCCTTCAACTCCTATCTCCCATAGATCCCGCCTGAGATTATCCTCCCAATCTACGTCTAGGTCTCCCCAGCGGTCTCTTCCCTGCAGGTTTCCCAACCAGTACCCGGTGCACACCTCTTGTCCCATCCATGCGCGCTACATGTCCCGCCCATCTCACCCTTCTCGACTTAATCACCCTCACAATACTGGGGGAGCAGTACAGATTTTAAGCTAGTCATTGTGCAGTTTTCTCCACGCCCCATCGTCTTCCCTCTTAGGCCCAAATATCCTCCCCAACACCCGATTCTCAAACACCTGCAATCTGTGTTCCTCCCTCTGAGTGAGAGACCATGTTTCGCACCCATACAAAACAACAGGCAAGATTATTGTTTTGTATACTTTAATTTTCAGGTTCTTAGAAATCAGACGGGAAGACAAAATATTTTGGACTGAGAAGTAGCAAGCATTTCCGGAATTTAGTCTCCTCCTAACTTCCTCACAAGTATCATTTTGATTTGTTATTGCTGTTCCCAAATATTTGAACTTTGTAACCCTTGCAAAGGATTTATTAGCCACCCTAAGATAATTTTGCCCGCCTGTCTTCTGATGACGAGATACTAACATGTACTTAGTTTTTTCTGAATTTACTTCCACTATAACTAAGTTATAATATTAACCCTCTTAAGCCAAAGAGCATCTAAATTATACTTGCAAATTCAGTCCGTACCGCTAAGAAAACACGTCAGTTGGTCAATGCTGTTTGGAGTTGAATCTCAAAACTCATGTGGATAACATTTAAACATTCACTCCCTACCGCAAAGAAAACACAGCTCGTCTCCATTGCATCAGCCAGTTAATGATATTTGGGGAAATAATCGTTCTTTAGCCTCGGATTAAATGAAACCCATAAATACACCGTCGTGATGCGTGTACAGTTCTGTAATTTTGTTGCCAGAATGCTCGTGAGTTCGTGAAGCAACTCTGTCGCTTTTAATAAAAATCTGTAACTAATTTTGTTAGTGTCTGTATATTGTGGATCGTGACCAAGTTGTCTGTCATGTCGTGTATCACATAGTCGATTGTAGACCCTGATAAGCAGGTTTAGCGCCACGTCTTCAGGTACGTGTTTTCGTATCTCGGTCTGTGGGCCAATCACTTTTTTTCGTGGTACGGATTTAAAATAGGTCACAGAACATCCCTACTTTATCCACCATTTTTGTGTTATTTATGAGTGCGCCGGTCGTAGTTAAGAAATTCTTCACGCAATTACATCGTATTCAGTTGTTTTATTTATTGTTCCGTGCCGTGCTGTTGCAAATATATTAGAAATGTAATTAATTCTTCTCGGGCTACTAGCCATGTAAGGTGGCTTAATGGAGAAAACGTTTTGAGAACCTTCTTCGTCCTCCTCCTCAGGGTACTGAAGTTGTCGTGTTATTGGCTGTACGTTAGCCAATAGGACTTTGTTTTTCGGAATGAAGTGCTCGCCATTTTTTGGCCCAGGATTTCGATTAATCGTAACGTAGAAGAATTTCTGGATAAAACCTTATCCCATAAAGTAAACAAGTAAGTCGTGCTCAGAATTATACTTGATTGCTGGAGACACGACTTGAATTTCTAAAATGGGAACTCCTTGAGCCATGAGAAATTCTGTGTCCAGATTCTTGTCCTCCGGTATGTCTGTCTGATCTGAATAATAACGGAATAATTGAATTGTAAAATTCATACTTCCGCCACTGGATGTCAGATGCGTTCTGCATGTAATGTCCTCGTCATTTCATTCAAAGCGCAACTTAACAAAACAATTGAGTTCGGGGATTTATTATACACCCTTGTAGTCTGTCCCGCCATTGGGATGTTTTAATTCAAGACCTCGCGTGTAACTCAGATGGGCCACAGAGACTGGATTACACGCGCAATGAATAAAATACCAAACAGGTGACTGTGCGACTCTCGATATGTCTCGAGACAGACGAACATCGATGGGCCGACACATTTCATTTCTTGTGGAATGTTTTAAATAGACCTGCTTAACACGTAGAAGGCAGTGTTTACAAAGATGTCTGTCTCCTGTGTTGTTGTGCTGTGTGGTCTGGTAGACTCTACCGACGTGTGACAAAAGTTGAAGGTATTCTGGTATTTTTATGTCATCATCCAGGATTTCAGCAACTCCTTGAAATATCTTCTTGTTACCTAAATTGTTAGGATCCCCAGCTCATAATTTGCAGAATTCAGATTTGTTAATTTATATGGCGACTTAAGACATTCAGTTTTCATGTGTGTGACAGCCACTACCCTTTTCATTCTGTAGTGTGCAGTATACAGTGTTTCCCTTCTTCTGTCTGCCTTCCCTTGCCACCACATTCCAATGAGATGCTTCTTATCCCCAACTTACCTTTTCATAAACACTAGTAGATGTGATGGTGAGCCACTGGTGCGGTTCACATCCTCAGATCCTGAAGACAAAAAAAATGAGAACATCAGATCTGAAACTGCACGTTAGGTTTCATGCAAAGTGATTTCACAAGGAAATCGGTGTCATTGAATATGCATTTCAGAGGTGGGAAACAGTAGGAAAACCTTCACCATATAATTAGTGTTTCAAATGAGGAGGGTGTGAACAAAACATTTTACATGGGGAAATAATGCATATGCAGTTAAAATCAATGTCAATCGTATCAGATGAGACCATTAGCTTGATACAGTCGTAGACAGGATTCTAATCAGTATTCACGTGGATTTTTAAAGAAATGGTATGTTGGTTGGATTTACAGGCTACCCAAGATTAGGGTTATAAAAAGCATGATTAATGCTTAGGGTGGTTATTTATGGTGGGAAACTTTTTTGTTAAGAATTATGCTGCTCTGGATGGAGTTTGCAGTAAGTGGCTTTGTGATTGTGTGTTCTTTGGTATCAGCTTCCAAATTACGAAAATTGTTTTGAGGTTATATCATCCTTCATATTATCGGAAAGAATTTACTGAGGTAATTTAACGCATTTTATTAAGTAGATGCCTGACATTTGCTGTGATTTTTATGCAAGAATAGGTATAAAAATGTGGAGGGAATTTAAAAAAACATTGAATTTGTTTATCGTCCATTTAACGACGCTGTCGGTATAGCTCGGACATTATAGCGTAGAGTAGAGTAATCCATTTCATAATGAAGTGGAAAGGATATATAAAGAATTGTGGTGGCCTAATTTGATGTGCTGTCTTAGCATTTGTCAGGAGGGACTATGAAAAAACGGAGTCACTTTAGCCAACATTCGAGCCTGTAACTTCCAGAAGACGAAGCAGGAGTGAAAATTAGTTAGCTTGAAGTGATGCATTGTAAGATTGTAATTTCTCTCGTAATCACGTTCCACGAATACTTGTAAGAATTATTTATTAAGCTTATGCAGTTGGGCAACATTGATGGTAATTACGAATGAATAAAAGTGTATTAATATTGAAATCGAATAAATTCAGGAAATGAATGTGTATGGCTTCCAATCTGGAAATTTGAAGCCTATGTAGAAATATGCTTTCTTTTTATGACTCAACAGAATAGTTATTGCTGAAAAGTTTCAAATGCTGGAAGTGAAACAATTCTCTGTTATTTCTTTGTCTGTAGTGCGTTATTTGGGCAGCTGAACTGAGGAATCATTAGTTGACGTCATATTTATAGGTTAGGTTTCGTTATGTTGTGAACATTCTTGTGAAAAAAGATGCGATTTATTTTCCAATTTCTTGTTGATCTTCCTAATTTTTTTTTCAGGAGCAGATGTATGAAAGAAACGGAACATTAACTCTTGTAAGCAGTGCTACAGCCATTGCAAATAACTTGTCTGTCCAATTTGCCCCGCAGACAAAGACAGCTCAAACAATTGCTGTTATTCATGAGGGTTATATAAATGTCATTCCTGTTTATAATTCAGAAATAAGAGCTAAATACATTCCATGTGTTGAAAGTGGCACCAAGCCAAGACATGTTAGCACTTCTGTGACACAGGTTAGCTTACTTCTAACCCCACCCCCCTTGTTTTAAGTAACTGTCAGCGACAGAAGAATGTTTAGATTCTGTGTACAGGTGCGGTGATTAATGAAGTACAAGGAAAAGTAACAGTTTCCTGTATTCCTAATTATCTGTTGCCAACATTGTATTTATATTGGAAGGTTTGGAAATTATTCATAATCATTTTCGTTCAAAATTACATTTTGGGGATGTGACGAAGACATGACTTGATTTTGTTTGAATTTTTTAATTCATAATGTTTGATGGTAGGGTACCTTACTTAAGATGCTATGACTTTCTGCATGGCTGAACTTTTCCAGTCATAATGGTTAACTGTCCTTTCAATTGAGAACAAGTATCAGTGGTATGTATAGTCACCAAATTTGAACCCATGTTAATGGCATAAAAGTAATTTTATTAAGAATTCTGTACTTGAGATTCTAGTGTGTACACATCAATCATTGCACTTGTTACAGAATTGTTGTTATGTTTTTACTGACTAACAAATATCATGTAAAGTAGATTAAATTAAGTAGGATTTGAGGTTTTCATGCTAGTTAGTCTGAAGATGACTTGAACCAAATTGATCTTGCTACTGAAGTCCAAGAAAAACAGAATGTATAAAAATGTGTTATATCACTTGTTTAAGCTACATGCAAACAGGAGTGTGAGATTTTATTGCTCACTATATTTTCAAGGTGCACCTTTATTTTTGGCATATTAAACTTGTATGATTCTTTTGTGTTCAGCCAGTTACACACACTCTACACCCGCAATGTATTTATACCTCTCCGTGAGGAAAGCCTGTACTGTAAGAAATCTGCTTATAATTTAGGTGATGTGGTGTGATGTGAAAAGACATCAGCTGTTAGTGGTCGCTTCATCCTTGGGTGTGCAAATATTTGATGAGGATGGCCGAGTCTGCAAGTTCTCCCATCCTTGCGTAGATATGCCTGATGGTGGTGGCAACTTTGCTCGTGGGTTGGCTCTAATTGGACATGATATGCTATGTGTTGGTTAGTTTTGTTCCTAAACCTGTAGTGAATAACATTTGTTTTAAGCATGCTCTTACTACAATCTGCTTATGAACAGCTGCAACATATGCTTTTTTGGCTGACTGAGATTTTATCATTTATTATTCTGATTGGTTTATTTAATGACACTGTCAGTTGCATGTCAACATACATATGAACGAACGAGGTTTTCGTGGCGGAGAGTGAAGATGGCTATCTTCAGGGTTGTTGCGTCCCTGATGATGGAGGTATCTAGGACCTCTGAAACGTCGGTAAACTTCTACCAGATTATGCGGTGCAACAACCCAGAATGTTTTTATCCATTCTGGCCTCTGAATGCAGTCTGTATTTGAGAACTGTACATTGGACACACTGTTACTAAGGCATGTGTAATATTAGACTAATGAGTACAACACATCAGAAAATGTGTGCATAGCATAGCATAGCATAATTATTTGTATATTTGCTGTGTTATTCTTTTAAATTCATGGTGTGTAAGTGCACAGAAGTGTATGTAGGTCTTCATATGAAAAGAAGTGGAATGTGTTGATAAATTTTACTAAAACTTTTTGTTATAAAATTTCATTAAATCTTCTCGGGTTGTTAAACATACACAGACTTGATGAACTTAATAGGCACTTTACAACTTTTTATTGCATGTGCACCAAAAATGTGATAACATGAATGTGTGTTATTGGTGTATTAAACTTTTGGCATTTACTGTACATGGGAAGCCTGCATTGTCCTTCTGTGTATTTCAGTGCCGTGCTCTGTGTTGGATGAAACAATTTTAGTATATTGGTCAGTATCAGTAGTACAACTGTGTTATCTTACTGACCATAAGGCTGGTACATTTTAAATTCTAAAACTGGAAGTCTTGAAAAAAAAATTGTCTCTTAAGTGTCTCTGGCCCTGTTGAGTTGATGTTTTAATGTATGTGAATTTCCTGTTTTCAATATGTCCTATGTACTAACATGCATGGTATAGTCAGAAAGCTCATGATGTTCTGCCTGTAAGTTTGTGTGGTGTCATGGTGGGTTTTACCTTTGAAGTACTTCCTTTCTGCTGTCATATGTTCCTGCCAGCAACCATATCACTGCAGGTAGCGCTCCTACAGGACTTCCATGCCATCTGTTTACCAAGTATATTGAAATATGCAGCATTAGTGTGTCAGATACGTTGTTATGTTTACAGGAAACAGTAGTGGGACCATTCGTATATTCCACATTCCAGAAGACTTGGATCCAGTAGTTAAAATCGACCACAAGCAGGTTCACAAGAAGGCAGTTACAGACATTGCTGCTTCTGTGACTGGCGGTAATCTTGTAGTCACAGCAGATGATTCTGGAGAGCTCAGTCTGTGGAGGCTGGAGCGGGAACTGCATCTTGTTTCTATGTTTCCCACTTTCAGGTGAGCGTTTGTACTAGCTGAATTCAGACACTTCTCTGCTTTGTCTTCAGGGTGTGACGATGTCTGTGTTCATGAATAACTACCAAGTGCTTTAATGTTCTGTCTGCGCAAGCAAAGCTCTCGCGCGTTTCGGTACCTGATGCCGTCAACAGCTTTTGGCAGCTTCAGACGATTGAACAGGTGTCAGTTTATCTGTCTCCTCTGCTTTTACCCTCCCACTGCACTTTCTCATCTACAGCCCCAGGTTTTGGTCCCTGTAGTAACTTCGTTGCTTATGGTGAAGTCAGAAATGCCATTTACTTTAAATGAATTATTGAGAGTACTGTATTTTTTTTACTTGTTCTAATCTTGGAATTTTTGAAGGAAGATCAAAATGATACATGTTTCAAAATTGCATAAGAGACACAAATCTTTATGCCACCAGTAAAATGCCAAAGCATTTGTTTCAGATATCCGTGTACAAGTTTGAAGATATGGGAAGGTTTTATTTTGTGTGCTTTTGGATCTGGTCACATCCGTGTATTTGGCACCAAGACCTTGAGTCTTGTATGTGAAGTAGCAGCCCACGCTCGCTGGATCACAGCTGCCGACTTAGCTCCAGATACCGGGTACTTTCTCTCCGTGTCCGAGGACTCGTTTGTCAAAGTGTGGCAGATATCCAAACGGGATGGCATGGTGAGGTATAGTGTGATATTTTGCTTTTTGTGTTCCTGAAAAGTATAAGTAGGTCCACAGTTATGTATGGCATTCAGATCAGTAATCAAATTTGAGGACAGCACATGGTAATTTATTAATAACAACTTCTGATCTGGATGAATGAACCTACTGTCATTGTACCCATTCACTGCTGGGCGTTTAAATTCAGGTACTTCTTTAAATGCTAGACCTTGATGACACTGGTGTGGGATTTTGCATTTCCTAGAATGGAAAATATTGTTTAGAAAATTTTGAGAAAGAAAAAAATGGAAATTTTACATTGTCTTTAGTAGACTTCAGCATGTGATCTTATGTGTAGCGGCAGCCTTCAACATGGAAGCAGAGGAAGTGCTGATAGAGCACACACTAATCTTTGTGCTCCTCTTGAGAGTGACCCAGCAACACACTGCCATGTTTTTATCACCTTTGCATGAATTAGTGTCTTTTCACTTTTGCACCCAGCTGTTATTCCAGGTCTCTCTATCCTGTCGTGGCATGCCATTAGATTGTCCTCATAGCTGAGGACAACTACATCCTGCTTACATCGAAAGTGGCCACACCTTTACTAAAAATCCTGGTTGATTCCAGTCATCTGATAATTCATAAATGTCTTCATTGTTTTCTGAGGGCGATTGTGATGGACTTGATTCAGATTAAAATCAGTATCAGAATCACTGCCATTTGCAGTTTCTGCAATTATCGTCTTCTGCCAGTGCACAGTGACAGAATAAATCCTTATGGAATAGGTGGTTGACCACATTCTGTCCTGTATTCCATAATACACTTTGCATTGTTTGCTTTCTGATTTCCCAACATGTCTGAAATATACTTTATAGTCTTCAGCAGAGGCTTTGCATATTTATATTTTTGGATAATATTTTATTCCAGGCAAATTATTTTTTTGTCCCCCCCCCCCCCCCCCCGTTCAAGAGTGCACGTGTATGAGAGTAGTGAAAGAGCAAAGTGGATGAGCTTATAAATCTCATCTTCTGATGTACTGTATTTGTTCCCCAGTGTTGTAGTACAGAAGTGCTTGGTGGCTGTTTCTGCTACTGTGTCGTTCTTCTCCTTGCTGTGTGCCATCATACATCTGAAGTATGAAAAGACAAACTGTACCAAGCCTCAGTAATTATATATAAGAGTTATATTTTGTTAGGATGTTAACTGATCACAAAGTATATTTTCCAATGCACGGTCAGTATCGCCGCCAGCATTTTTCTTAACGAAAGAGTCCGAGTGTTTGCTATGGAATGGCCATCAATTTATAGATGGTACCCACTTGGTTTATGAATTGAGCACATTTTACAAGAAAGGTACACTGCAAAATGTTTTCTTTCAAAACTGTCATAACTGCCTCAAATAGCTTCAAAATGTCAGCGCCTATGCGAAGATAAAGGAGTGAATATTTTCAAGAGGTTTTCACTGAGCTCTGTTATGAGAAATTATAATGTGTACCTTAGAGTTTGAGTAATCTCACATGCAACTTGAAGTTCGTTCTTTTTTACACGTAACAATTACAGTAGTCATTCTTTGTTGAAAGTAAAGTGCTGATCAAATGGTAAGTTTGATGTGAAACTCAGTACAGGTAGGATTCGGTTTACGCCTGGGTTGGGTTCCTGAGATTTCCAGCATAAAATAAAGATTTTCAGTAATCAACGCAAAATACTTGAAAAATGTTTCATTGTGTGAAATTTACTTATTGAAAATTGTATAATGTTTAAGAAAAAGAAAGAAAATTTACTGCTTTAAAAATAATAGAATAGATGTCTGTTTGTTTTTCTTCTTTTCTGATAATAAGTTGTAGTATGGCTTTAGAAGTGTATCAATTCCTCTCTTAATGGTTGAACTCTGCTCCCAGTTGGGGTCGTTGCTGCAGAAGATCTTGCATCCCTTAATAATTGACTCATCACCTCCTCCAATCATGATCTATGACAGGTGCAAAAGTGAAGCGGGTGTAAATTGAAGAGGCGTAAACCGAGTCCTACCTGTATATCTGGTGTACCCCCTTGAATATAAAAATACATTTCATCCTTTTCTGACATGACATTTCACAGGGTAAGAGATGCTGACGTGTTAATGTGAAATGTAATCATTCTCTTTCAGGTAAGTCTCAAGTTCTCAGCACAAGTGCAGGATAATTTGTTGGTTGGAGGAAAGTTTCTCTGCTCTGGAGGTGAGAAGTTCTGTGTGTCCACTTATGAGAGCTGTAATGTCATATGTTATTGTGCATGAGCTGCTTTCTTAACAAAGAAAACATTTAATTATTCGTGTTTATTCCGTCTAATTACAATTGTATATAAATAAAATTATACATAAGATATTAAAATATCATTTACATATTTGGTACAACTTTTTACTACATGTTTCGGTTACATTGAACCATCTTCAGGTGTAAAGTTAAAAGTTAAAAATTATAATCTTATAAACTAAAACTTAATTACTGTTGTTGTGTAACTTCTGATGATGTTTACATCCAAATTCATTGGAGTGAGGGTATATTTTGAAGTGATAGTGGTTTAACATTGGCCTGTAACGTAAATAATTTAAAATATTTTTAATTATTACTGAACTTGAAAGAAGATCAATACTGATCACTTATAGAGAGTAGGTGAAAGGTGGTTGTTGAGATTGGGGTCGAGTGTCTGAAGGACATTGAAGATGGGGTTATTAAGGTATATGTTATTATCGTTTAGGCAAAGGTTTTGTTTAAATGTTTGTTGTATATAATATTTTTCTATTGTATCTCTATGTCTTTTATTTTGTACTATTTTTAAAATATCCATAGTGTGTGAAGATATGTGTTTGATTTATTTGGCTGAATTCTTTCTTTTTTGACTCCAGTGCTTTGAACATGTGGTTTTGGTTAAAGATTGTTGACCTGGAAATGAAATGATGTATGATATCTGTTTGGTGTTGGTGGACCACCTAGGCTGCTCCCTCATAAATATATTTTTGCATAACCCCCTCCTTCTCTCATCTTAGGCTCCCTTATCCTGTACCACTTAAACCCTCTGTAATTTTTTTAGAGGGCAGAAATCAGTTAGGTGAAGCATACAATACCAAACCCGTTTCTGCCCTTCTTTTATTTCTAGAACTTAATTCTACTGTAAGAATCCGTCTCGAACTGCCGATGTCGTCCTCCGCAGTCTCGTACGTTACCTCTTCGGCTACGATCCGTGTGGTAGATTGGGATTCTGGTTCGATGATTTATGTCGATGCAGTACGTAGTTTATTGGGTTCGATACTAGATTTTGTTGTGGCCAAGTTCGCAGAGAGAGAGAGAGAGAGAGAGAAAGGAAGTCAGAAGTTGGTGAGATTTGTTGCGTGAATCTAGTTTTTGGAGTCATGGAGGTGTAGCATGACTGGCGTAAGTAGTTTATGTGCAGGTAGTTGGCAGTGAGGTCGGGTTTCGCTTTTGAGGATGTTTGCATGCTAAATTTATTTCAGTTCATAATTGCAAATATTCAGTCTCTTAAAATGCCACAATGCAAGAATCATTGCTGTAAGTTTCTGTGTGCGAACTATGATCTTTGTGGCTGTTATTAGGTTACGGAAAAAGAGCCTGTTCTCGTTTGTCGGTTGAGGTTATGTGTTAATGATTGTCGAATCAAATAAATGAAGGCCATGAGGCATTGATAAGTGACATTTATATACTCAGAAGTGTTTATTATTTGCGGGTTTTGTGCGTTGTGCAGTTACTTGAGGAATTTAAATACGTGAAGTAATGCTAGTTTAGCAATGCTGCCTGAGTAGTGTGTCCCCCAGAACAAAAGTACATGTTCAATCAACTGCGTCATCAGAATGCTGTTTGTTTCTGCATTTGTGTCGGGGAAGAGAAAAGAAAGGTTCCAGCATGAATCTGTGAGATAGGGAGGTTACTTTTTGTCAGGTGACTTTTTGTTTCACAGTCGTGACGTATATTAGAAGTGATAACTTGTGAGTGGGTTGGTAGTGAACATGACAGAATCTGACCGGAGCCTGAGTCTTGGAGGTGGGGTTGATTGATTGGTGTTTGCATGTTCCTTTTTTAAAAATATATATATTTTTCTTTATATACTTTTTAGTAATTTGCATACAATACGAAACCCATTTCTGCCCTCCCTTTAATTCTAGAACTCAATTCTACTGTAAGAATCTGCGCTGAAATGGAAGGGAGAGGCCTTTAAGTGGTACAGCTCTTTTGCCGGATGTTTGTGTTCGAGCCGTCTGTGAGTGAAGATTCCTTTGCGTATGAATCTTGGAGGTAGAACGTATTTTTGTTTGTTGCACGTTTTATTGGTCTTGTTATTGGGTAGTCAATCAGCATACGATTATCATGTTGAAGGGGTCCCAGGATCTTAATAAACATTGTGACCTCAATCAGAAACTCCTGTCAATTCAGTAATCAGCGTGCACTAAAACCGCGTCTCGTGAAACTGTTTATTGACGTAATGTCAGATACAAAATATTGTTTTATAGAATTGCTTTCTTTATTTTGTTCTGTTTCTACTTGTTACATTGAGATTGCTGCTGCTGGTGTCATGGAGAGATGTTTCGTCAAGGTAAGACATTTTGGTGGCTCTCCTTTACTTAGTGGGGAATCCCCACGTCCACTCTAAGTATTTGCGAACAGGTTGGTGGCCCCAGCACCCTGCCAGTTTCTCATAGCAACTAGCTCCTTAGCACCTACAGTCATCATTCCACCGCTTCTAAATGATGTTCTGTCATTACCCCAGATGCATTTCTCTCCTAATCATTGTTTGGGTTTCCTTGTGATGTTCTCAAGGTCGTCCGTCACATGTCACGTGAGTTGGAAGGGGAGGGTGTGGTTGAGATAGAGACGCAGTTGTCCTCTAGCAATCTGCCGCCAGAGGCACGGGCAGCCTCCCCGTGACAGCGCACTTTCACTTATTTAAAAAAATACATATAAATACGCACATAAAAATGTATGTATACATATATATTGTTATTTTTTATTCTTACCAAGTCGGTATCGGCGCCGTCTGACTTTGACTCTGAACACGCACGCACGAATATACACACAAGCCACGGCAACGTACTTTATGTGATTTCTTATTATTTTATTATATTATGTTTTTACTCTTTTGATTCTACCAAAATTTCTTATTCTCTCAAAAATAAATATGCACATTTATATACACATGCGTATATATATTCTTAATTTTATTCTTATGTAGTCGGTATCGCCGAGGGACGTGTGCTGTCAGGCAACGCGGAAAGTAGCACGCACCGAAGAAGTAAACCTCAGAACGTGACCAGCCAGATATCACGCACCGTGTGACTTTGACTCAGAACACAGGCAGCCAAAATTGTCAAAAATTTAAAATTTCCCCAAAATTTTCGAAAAATCAAAAAGTGCTAGAAAGTGCCCAAAAATCGTAGAAAACTTAAAGAATTTGAAAAATGTAAACTTGAATTTTTTTTGAAAAATTTCAAAAATTTTGGGTTTTGTGTTTTTTTTTGACAATTTCCAGCATTTTTAGTTTTTTCAAAGAAATTTAAAAATTTATGAAAATGTCGAAATTATTCCCATTCTATACGTACCATAAACGTTGAATGACACCCAGTCTATGCGAGACTCCGTCTGTGCAGCATCCAAACTCTGCTTCTCAAGGTCTCTGCCAGACTCCGTCTCGGCCGGGCTGGCCATGGGGCCCTTCCCGCGAAAGAGTCCCCGGCAACCGGCCGACCATTATATCTGTCCCCTCTTCGCGGCCTGCCTCTTTTTGTTTGTTGCACGTTTTATTGGTCTTGTTATTGGGTAGTCAATCAGCATACGATTATCATGTTGAAGGGGTCCCGGGATCTTAATAAACATTGTGACCTCAATCAGAAACTCCTGTCAATTCAGTAATCAGCGTGCACTAAAACCGCGTCTCGTGAAACTGTTTATTGACGTAATGTCAGATACAAAATATTGTTTTATAGAATTGCTTTCTTTATTTTGTTCTGTTTCTACTTGTTACATTGAGATTGCTGCTGCTGGTGTCATGGAGAGATGTTTCGTCAAGGTAAGACATTTTGGTGGCTCTCCTTTACTTAGTGGGGAATCCCCACGTCCACTCTAAGTATTTGCGAACAGGTTGGTGGCCCCAGCACCCTGCCAGTTTCTCATAGCAACTAGCTCCTTAGCACCTACAGTCATCATTCCACCACTTCTAAATGATGTTCTGTCATTGCCCCAGATGCATTTCTCTCGTAATTGGGTTTCCTTGTGATGTTCTCAAGGTCGTCCGTCAC